CAGTAAATTTAAACTTCATATATACAAATTTGTTAAAAAATATTAAAGTCTTTAACTTAGACATTATTTCATTGGGAAGTAAGTAACAGTGAATAGAGTTCGAGATGTGAATGGAATTCGAGAAGTAAATTGATACAGAAAAGGGCTCCTTTACCAAGGCGAAGATTGAACGCTATGGATTTTATCTATTAAGAAATGATACACGTTAAAAGGTAAATATAATTATTTATTACTAGCTTATTTATGTACTAATACTTGTCATTAATACCGAGCCAGACACTCAACAACGGCACAACGCCCAAAAACATTGTCGGCTCGGAATACCGTGGAAAGGTGTATCGAAGTACTTAAATCTCGCTGGCGATGTTTAAGTATTGGTTCATCGCAAGATACACTACAGCAGGACAAGTGCATTTGCATGTATTTGTGTTAACTGAAACAATGACGTGTTGTTTTATTGTAGCTTACCATAAATCAGGCAATAATAATAGCTTTAATATGATAAGTAAGGTAAAATTCGCAACTTAGAAAAATTTAATTTCATTCATCATGTTTCATTTTCAGATATCCGATTTTTTTGGACAAGCCTGCCACATCCTTCCCAAACCGCTGCGACTCCTGTAAGCCAGGATCTACAGTAGATGACACCAGAACACTGAAGTCCGGCGCGTCCCAGGGACATAATTAACTGTCTTGGATCCCGCTACGAAATCAGATTCTGATTTATCAGAAGACATTATAAGAGGAGAAGAAAAAAACAATAGTTTGCACTTCCCTCGGTTACTTTTAGTTAGTGATTATGAAATAAATGTTTTAAAATTAGTGACTTTATTTTATTGGTGTGAATGATATCTCTATCAGTTGAAATATCTCTCCTCTCTCTCTCTCTCTCTTCATGTTCCAAAAGATTGTACTATGGCTATAGACCTAAAAAACTAAGGCAAATAAAAACAACAAAATTTTCAAATCGTCAGATACGTGCTGACTAAAATCTATTTATTTATAAGTCCGATTCGTACTAGAGAATTAGTATTAGTTCTTGCACTCTGTATAGTCGTATCCTGAAACACAATTTTAATCATTAATATTTACTATATGTACAGGATTACAATTTATAGTTTTATTTTATAACTTCAGTATAAAACTTGTTGAAAAGACATACTGACAATGAAATAACCCAAGGTATATGAAGATACAACTTGAATCATGCCTATTAGTAACTAGCTGTTACCCGCGACTTCGTCCGCGTGCAATAACGACTTCAGTATAAATTGGGTTTTTTAAATTAGTCTTTGTCAAGGTATATTCTACGGCTGTACAACTGGAACAAATATCATCACAATCCATTCAGTACCTAGGTTATATTTATTGAGAAATGAATTTATTTTCGTGGTTTCTAAAATAAACAATCCCATAGAGGTTTTACCCGTACAGTGCCCGTCTCGTGAGGTTTCACTATTCTATGTTTGCAAATCAATGTTGTATCGCATTTCAATCAAATAGATATAGTGATTTTAACAGCACTTTTAGATGTCCTTTCCCGGGTCTCAAACTATCGCTGTACCGAATTTCACCAAATAGGTTCAATGGTTTAAAAGGTAAGAGCCCCTCTTTATTTCAACGTCCTTGGTCCTGGTTTCCGTCATTTTGGGATTTCCTCTCTCCTATAATGTGACCTGGTATGTACCGGTGCGACGTGCGTTACTATCGCAAACATTTAAATGAAAAAATAGGTATTCTGATATTAGGTTACTTACATATGATACATGTACTTTCATGTTGATATTAATGTCCTCTATAAGACTTAATACATCCCTTGGCTCTATTGTCCATAATTTCCACAGCGTAATCAATACCAATAATATAAGGAGTTTTTTTGGTAGTTTTTCACACATCGGGTTGTCATTACCTAAAGGAGATTTTTTTGAGGTCGGAAAATCATCCAATCACTTCTCCCGCCTCCATCTATGATGGTGTCATGGCTCTGTGAGGCGCGCGCCGTATGCACGGGACTGGTTCTGGTCGGGTGGCGAGCTACCCTTGCTCTTCGTCTACAGACCCGCACTTACGGTGGCCGGTGGCCGGCCGATCTCCGACGCCCAGAGTGTCTCCCGCGACGGCTGGGGCGTGAGGAAGTTCATTCCCTCACGCGCTCCGCTTTCTCCTTGGCAAGCATAACTGCTTCGCAGAAGGATGCGACTGCATCCCAATCCCCCTCGCTCCATGGCCTGAACCAGAGCCGAACGCGAGAGGTCACCGTTTCCTACATCCCTGAGAACACGGCGGTGCTCAGCCCATGCAAGGTACACCGCCACGGTATGCTCCACCGTGTTCTCCGGGCGGTTCTTGCATTGATGGCCTCTTTAAAGCCACTTTTAAAGAGGGGACTTTCCGCTGCAATGACAGCGAGCCCAGCCCTCGGTTACCTAAAGGAGTGTTTCGCTGTGTAAGTGAGGTTACCGGAGGCCCAATTACCCCTCCCCCAGCCCCCCCAATCCCTGACAATCTTCAAATTCCCAAAATACCGGTAACGCACTTCTAGCACTTCTGGTGTTACAGGTGTCCATGGGCGGCGCAGATTGCTTACCATCAGGTGATCCGTCTGCTCGTTTACCGGCTTATGCCATAAACAAACAGCAAACTATCATAGTGAATTTGGCCTTGACGGTCTAAAATGAAAAGGACTAATATTATTTTTTAGCTATGTGCATTTAGCTAGTTTTTTTGATATACATATAAAAAATACGAATTCAAGTAAACTGAAAATATTTTATTCGTGGTTTTATCTCCTTAGACTGCTGTCAACCTCTTTGCATACCTTAATATTAATACCATAGTATAAAAAAAATCTATGACACATTGACTTTGTAAACTCACTTGTCACACAAATGTCAGATGACTTAAGAAATGTATACTAATAATATAAATTTGTATGTGCTTGTTTGTTTGTTTGTCCGTATTTCACGACAGAACGGAGTCAGGAAGGTTTTTGATTTGAGATAGTTGAAAAGATGGAGAGTATCATAGGCTACTTTTTGTCTTTTTCTAACCCCCTTCCACTTCCGTGAAACAGAGGTGAAAGTTTGTATGGGGTATTTTGCAATTTTCAATGTGGAAAGCTAACAATTGGTATGCGGGTTATTTGTGACCAGCATAGAATCGTGCATCATTTCATTTTTTTATTGTAAATCCTTCCCTCACCCCATTAAAAGAACGCGAGAGAAGCCGCAGACAGAGGCTAGTCTATGAATAAATTGTATTCAGTCAATTGAATTCGTATTTTGTCTTTAAAATCCCTGATCCCTGATGCAGCTGAATACTAATATTATTCCTTGAAAACCCACAGAACTTCATTTTTATATGTTGATGCCAAAATATATTATGAAAGTAGGACGCCATAACAATTACAAATCATTAGGTTGTTACCTGTCAGATATCCGTTTTCAGGTTTTCAGATAAATCGTAATAATTATTCTTAAAAATCGACATAGTGAGTCGAAATTTCAAAAACGCTAGAACAAATGTTTTATTATTTTTTATCAAGTGCTTAAATATAAAGTTTCATGGTTTTATCTTTAAAAATTATGAAATCCCATACAACTCCCCCCCCCCTTTTAACCCCTTACAACCCCTTTTTCGCGATAAAAAGTAGCCTATGTTTTATCTCGGGGTCTAGAATATCTGTATACCAAATTTCATTCAAATCCGTTCAGTAGTTTTGGCGTGAAAGAGTAGCAGACAGACAGACAGACAGAGTTACTTTCGCATTTATAATATTAGTTAGGATATACGATCCAGAAGCGTTCAGTATTAGTGCACTTAATACCTTAAACAGAAATAAATGCATGAGATATACATCTCTATTATTTTTTTGAAAGAATCTTAAGGGTTAATTACAACTTGGTTGTATAACTACTTTAAGTAATGAATAGTTTGGTGGCTACTTATCTTGCACACAGTACTTATTCCACCACGTCGACAGGCTAAATATGCTTCCAACTCTTGGGATTATTTTGCGACACACACTATTATTTACGCGAAACAATCCAACATATTCAGGCTCCGGTATTTAAAAAACAACTTGCATTTCCTGAAGAGTTTCACTTCGCCGACGATATGAAAACCTTTCTAAAACACGTGCATGCTCCAAAAAGTTTTCAGAAAGGCCTAAATCGCCCATTTTTCATTACTTTATTAAAAATATAAACTAGATGAATTGTAAAATGATGCCCTCAAGTAACATCTGACAAATCTGCTTATTTGACGTATAGGAATTCACTCTTTGCAAACCATTTTACGAATTTCCATTCAAAAGTGTCATATTAGATGAATTGCAAATATGAAACACTTTCAGTTCATATCATGAATCATCAAAATGTTGTCTTTTTATGACATGACATATGCCACATATTATGATTCAGATATGAAACATACAATGTTACCTTTTTAGCCCCCCTGATTTCTTACGATATCGTCTCGATATCTAAATATAAATGAGGTTGATACTATTCATTCAATAGAATTGGTGGCTCATCTTTATTTATCTTATACTTAACTACAATACTAATTACCAAGTTTATCTTATTGAAGACAGTCGGTAATCATATAGAGTCCATCTTTTTATAACAGGTAAACACACGTGTAGGTAAATTTGTCAGGATGTGCTACATGTAGTCATTATTGTCGCTAATTAACATATTAGCTTCGGAAAAGTCTTAATTCTAATAAATAAGTAGGTAAATTAAATATACATTTTAAGGAAACTTCGTTTTATTGTAATTTCCAAATAGCATCCTGTAAAGTTAAGAAGTTCTTTATCTACTGTTATTGATGAAAATGATATTAATTGATGAAAAACTGAAAAAGACGCGAAAAATAACATAGATAAACGTAGGTGGGTCCTACCTACGTCTGCCATTTCTCACATCTTTTTCAGTCACTCTGTATTTTGAAAATGCATGTTTGACAATTAATGTACACTATGAAACATTTTTTACTAGGTCTTATACACTCGCATCGCTGTGGGGCTGTGGCAGAGCTCCCACGCGCTGCAACATTTGGAGCGAGTGCAGTGCTGCGCCACACAGTTCCCACGACCAGAAAAATCTAATAATACTGCTTATGATGCACAACGAACCCTCATTGGCACCAATGATGATAAGGTAATTTTATTAAATTATATTTATAGTTAGACAACTACAATTTTACTCTGAAATATGTCCGTCTAGTTTGACGTGACGTCTGACCCAACTCACCCAAAACTAAATCCATTTTTCAAATTTTACGCAATAAGCAAAACCACTAATATTATCCTTTGACTCGTAGAATTATTCAAGTCTGTACTCTTTGTAGTGGTTTCTTTTTTGTACAATATAGTTAGGCAGACTAGTAGACTGATTAATTAATTGTCTTCGTCCGTTTGCCCTTTATTATTCGAGCAACTAGCAACTATGAAATTATTCATGGAAGGTGGGCAGTGCGTAACTACGCACTGGCATGTTCTAAGAACAATAGGTACCTGCCAAAAAGTACATTACAAAGAGCATTATTTAATAAGAAATTAGTCCACGCAGCCTTTGTAGTTAAATTCTAGTCTACCTATTCAGAAACCTCATTATTAGAGCCGTAAAAACAAAAGCACGCCTACTAACTGCGAAATTATTCCATGGTTTTGGTTTAACACAATACTGGAAGCGTGCTCACAGCCTATTTGCATAAATTGGACCAATCAATTCCTGTTTGGCAATGTATCACCCAATGATACCATTAAAATATTCATTAATATGGTGGTAGATCGGCCGATTGACAACATGCAACGGGCATCGATGAACATAAAACGAAGTAAAGATTTTGAAGTTTGTTCTTATGTTTGCTCAGAAAATGCTTTGATCTTTAAATCCTTTGTGAGTTCGGGTCTTACAGATCAAGTTCTGGAATTATTTGGCAGGTATAAAGTTTTATGTGAGGGTTACAAACAGCTGGAACGTTTGTGTAATCGTCTGGCTGCGGATATGAGCACGAATTGTGACGCCACGCCTTGCGGCGGAACGTTTACTGGCGTGAATGGGCTTTTGCTATAGATACTAGACGGCCAGCTTCGTAAAGATAACTGACTTTTTAAATTCAAATTCAGAATTTGTAAGTTGGGAATAAAACTCAATATTGCCTCAACTATTCACTACACAACAAAAAAAAACTGAATAACAATTTCATTCCGTCTATTATATCTATCGATTTTCGGTAATTGATATGACGGAAGTGAGGTACGTACGTAACCTGATAATTTACCGCCCCTACCTTCTTATTAATACTACTCGCTTCCCGTAAGAATATTTCACCTTCACACGTTGTAGGTACTTACTACACACGTCAATCATTTCATATTAGTAGAGCCAACAAGTACAGATTTTGTAGCTGTAGACATATTATTTTCGCACCATTTCACGAATAAAGTAGTGTTCATAGGGGCGAAGTTCCCTTGACAACGTAAACTTCTTGCTCGGCAAAGATTTTCTCAGTCAATGAAAAGACGCTACTTGAAGTCTCGTATCTCAAACAGACAAACTGTGGTATACGTAGAAGGTGGTTAGACATTTCATAAATATTAAACATGAGTCAAGCAATAACTGTGTTTATTTGCTGAACGTATATTTTGGACATGAACTGGGATGGTAAGTTAGGGTTCCAGGGTTTCAAGTTAATATCTTTTCACTGTGTGTTGAACAAATATGATATTTACATAACTATTTAACTTGTTTGCTAATGTAAGTAAATTTTGTTTTGGTTTTTATACAAGAAGTACGTAAAGTAAAATGAATTTGTTTCCAGAGAATGTGTTCCATACAATTTTTGATGCCATTCTATGGAATTCTTACTAGAAGCTACGAGTTTTTACGCACAGGTCTGTTGTCTAATTTTATTGTTTTTTGGGGAAGAAAAGCCGTATGTTATAATCACAGATTGTAATGTGATTGTTACATGGATTACACATAAACATAACATCCCCGAAGGGGTAGGCAGAGGTGCACATGCGGCACTTAATGCCACTGTACCATGTAACATCCACTTTTCACTATTATGAATGAGTCCCATGTAATATGTAACATTATTATTTATTTATTTATTATTTTCAGCCATGATTGTCCCACAGCAGGGCAAAGGCCTACCCTCCTTCCACTCCTCTCTATGTAAAGCTTTTTGCATTATATGTAACATGTATTATGATAATATAACGTATGAAAGGAATCAGGAGAAGGGAATGGACAAGAAATGTCAAGCGAAACTGACTGACATAATACAAAAATAAAGTCATTCAGTATTTCGGTGAACTTATAAGTACAGTCAAACCATCAAGGACATTATAATATATTATATTATGTCTAAGTACTCACTCACAAATAATAACCATTAGTAAGAAATATAATGTTTATTATCAACAATATATTCAGTATTTACGTTTTTCCTTAATAACTCGAATAATTGTTCTGTTACTTTATCTCATAGAGAATTGAATGTGAAGTTTATTTTATCTCAAAAATCATATCTTTTTATCTTTATTTTATTCACAAGGTTTTTATGTAGAAAAACATGTTTAGAACTGAGAAAATACAAGAATGACAGAATTTACTCTTACCTCATAGTCATTTACCTAAATTATTATTAATAGATTTTTGTACACAGAAAGTGGCTACGATGAGCAGCAGCACCCAGTCGGGGAAGACAACGACAGCGAAAGCGACCCGCGGACACGAAACGCGCAACTGTCACCACCTCAGCCACTTGTCGCGTAACGTGTTGCGTGCGCGCCGCGGGTCGTGCGCATGCTCATAGTGGTCGTGCTTACCTTCGCTATATGCAATCTTCCCTTCCACGCTCGAAAGATGTGGCAGTACTGGTCCAGTGGATACGAGGGCTCCAGCGACTTCAGCACTCTCCTCACGCCGCTCACGTTCCTCATCACCTACTTCAACTCCGGCATAAATCCACTCTTATACGCTTTCCTGTCCAAAAATTTTAGGAAAGGTATGAAAGAGCTCATATTCTGTAATTGTCATGGAAAAAGGAAGAGCGAAAACTTAATACTATTAAATCCCGTGGGAGGCGTCGGCCTGCGCAGGAGTTCGACTCGCTCCACTCGCGCCAACTGCAGCACGGTCACCATAGCGCCGAATGGGGAATCATGAGACATGCGTCGGCGGCGCTTCCTGTACAAGGTGGAAAATATAGATATTTCCTGATTAACAGAGAGCACCGACGAAGTGACTGACAGCAGCGGCTTCTACACTGTCTCTACTGTCTCTAGGCGGGATCTCTACGACTAGACACTAGAGATGTGCACCAGCAGGCGCTGACGTCACTTGTTCCATATAAAACTTTTAAAGACTTCTTACAAACTTCTCTGATTAGCTACGACGCTAACTGTGAGTAAGTGTGAGTGATTGTGAACTTAGTGATCTCGCGAGCTTAAACCTAGAGTACGTATGTTATTAGATGGATTAACTAGTGCTAGTGAAGGAGTTAAGACCAAACGTTACATATCTTTCGGTTATCTTTAGTTTATCCATTTGATGAAAAAAGCTTAATTTGTTGTTAGATAGGCAGTTTAAAACTAAATAGTTGAAAAAGTGTTTCATATAAAAATATTGTAAAAATGTAAATATCGTATTAAATTGTTCGAATTGAAGTAAATGTATCTAAATGTATCGGTGGCTGGTGTAAATATAGATATGATGTAAGTATATTACGAACCAAGATGTTGTGAATTGATGAATTTCCAATCACCCAATTCGGTTTACAAGATTTAAGATGGAGCCTCAGTCATGATAACTCGGCTCTGGAATTGAAGTACAATATTTATATTCAATACCGTAATACCGCTTACCCAGTTATAGCTGCATTAGGGGCAGACAGTGACGTCACAACGATAGAAGTTCTAGGAGAGTGATAGCAGACAATATTATATTTACAATTTCAAATGTACGACTTAAGTAAGAATTGTAAAAATAATTTCTAAACTGCTGAATCCAATATCACACGAGGTATATAAGAATAATAAATTGTAAGTGTAATTTCATATTGTTAAACTATTGTCGTGTAAATAGTGAACATATCTATAAATTTTTATACGTAAATTCGTTCATATACATTCGAAGTTTGTATGATTAATTGTGAAGTTTCCGCCTAGTAGTAGGAATGAAGCTATGGCCAAAAACATTTCATTATTATAAGTAAAATGTTATAAAAAAATACTTGTTATTTTCGCCAACATACATAAGCCAATTTAGATTAATAGACATTCGATTCGATATAGTATATTTTCTCAGAATTGTACCAAATACTAGTTATTTACACAATTGAAATGTATATCACGATATGATTATATTATTTCAATGCAGAATATGGATTCAGAAATTTTGTAAGAAAATATCTATTTTGTGATGAAAAATATATTAGTTATTCTAAAGGTTATCTGCCTATGTAAACTCAAAACTAAATTTTAACGCCTCTTACATTTTTATTTTAATAAGTGTATTTCATGAGAATAAGGTTTTCATTTTGTGGTCTAGAGAAATTAAAAAAAATGTAATTATATTTCACCTCTGTGTATCACATTTTTAAACGATTAAAACTCATTAACTCTGTTTTTTGTCTGTTTTCGATATCAGATGTCTCATTTTAGTAAAACATTTGTATGCGAGTTGAAAACTGACCGCGACCCAGTAAATGGTAGTCTTTAAGAACGTTCATTACCACATTGTTCTCGTTGTCTTTGTATAATGATAAAATTCATGTAAATATATATCGCTAGTAGTCGAGGGAATTTTAGTAGAGCCGGCTGGGGATAGTTGGAACATTTGGACGTGGATGCTCGTAGCTAGCTCGTTATGAAGCCGAGATCTTAACGATAAAATGACTTAATTTGTCCACAAATGCTTTCAACTTGGGCTTTTACTACCTAGAGTTAGAGCAATTTACTAGAAGGGAATAGCCATATTCAGACTACGTGTTCTGCCTACTTTGAATTTTACCGCCATTCCACCATTACCAAAAGTATTTATTTCGGTAATGCAATGTGAAATTAATATTAAAAACTGATAAAATTACCAACTCAACTCTCTTAAAACCTGTCTTTGACATGAAGAAAGTTGTTAATTCAACTTTTGTTAACCAAATGATTACAAAGGTAACCTTTTGCGAAGTCAAGCACAAAGTATCAAAGTTGCGCAGTTCTTGAACTTATAATTAAGGGTTGAGCTTACTATTTTATGGGGCACGTTCCTCGGCGCGGATAAACAGGCGACGCGACCCGATGTGGAGATGCCTGATAGTCAACGGTAAGTCCCAACAGACCCTCACCCTGAGTAATGTATTTTCCATACCTACATGGTGCAACTGACCCGGCCTACTCCACTAATTCTTCTTATGTTCATATCTTGACTCAATTTTCATAGTAGATAGGCCTTTATATGGATGGACTTGTGCAGAATATAAAAACATTGTCGTTATTACAACTTGTCGTGTACTTATAGATAGCTTTTATCTATTAAATATTAAAAAGACCACATTGGATAATGCACAAGTCTGGCAATTCTTCTTAGATAGTCTGTTAAATACATTTTTAGAGTTTATTATCTGTTATCCTAGAGACCAATGACATTTTTTTTCTAAAGTGCCCTACAAAGGTACTTACTTGCATCATAAACTATACACAACACATGTACGATTGTACGTATTATATCTGTTTTATATAAGTTAATCAAAATCTATTTTCACTATAAACTATAAAATATTCTGTAGATAATATTGATGTATTGATTTAATTAAATTCATATAAATAACTACTTCTGTATTTTATTAAAATTCCAATACAAAAAACGAATTTTACCTGTTAAAAAGTACAAATCGTCTATTCTATGCTATATTCTATATTATATATATGTAAAAATAAAACGTGCAATCCCGTTGTCACGCCATAACTTTAGAACGGCTTGACCGATTTTGCTGATTATTGTTTTGCTGTGTTTGTTATTGCCAGGAGAGAAATCCTAAAAATCCTACGGGAACTGGAGAAGTCGCAGGCAGAAGCTAGTGATTAATAAAATATGTGCAAATTATTAGATAATTATCAACACATTCAGATTTCTAGATGTGTATAAATCTGTCTACTTAATGGTTTTACTGTTAAAGTCTAAGAATTTTACCAGACGTAACGTATACCAGCTGTGTCTCACGTTAAATTCTAAAAGGGGAATGGTATCGGAGAAGTAATAAAACGGTGTCTCACTAATCTATCTACTTAGTCGTCTAGATTTAGGAATGCTTTGGAATTGGAGTACCTAACTAGTCCTCTGTACGTAAAATAGGTACGTTAGTTGAATAGATTCACTAAATTCCTAAGGCAAGATTGTCTTTGTTATCTTATTACTTTTTAGAAGTGAAATAATGGCTGCCTCGTTGGCCGAGTGATCGCAAGTGCGACTGCCGGCAAGGGGTTCAGGTTCGATTCCCGGGTCGGCAAAGTATTACTGTTTTTTTAATTCTCAGTAGTAGCACGGAGTCTGGAATTTTGCCTGGTATATGGCAATAGACTCATTCTCTATTACATGGGGCTCATAAATAGTGAAAAGTGGGTGTTACATTGTGCAGTGGCATAATGTGCGCCTACCCCTTCGGGGAGAAAAGGCGTCATGTTATGATGATGATGATTATGACGAATTAATGGATTTGTACATGTAGATTGGTAACTTTTTAAACAAACGAGAACGTACCTTTATTGTTTCCCTTTTAAATCCCACGAAGTAGTTTTTACGTTACATGGTAGAACGAAACTGGATTGTTCTCATTATTGAAGGACAAACGAACAAAAGTTTATCATTTTTACCTTACATATTTACCGACTCCACTGTACTAGCGCCTTTTTTTACTAAAAGCTACATATTTGTCCAAAAGTTGAAACAGACCTCATGCCAGATTTAAATTAAATTTAAATTAAACCAACTACGCACTGAATATTGTCTGAAAACTTTTTTATTTAAACATTCATACACACTTTTTTTCGCAACAAACTTCTCTTTGTGCGAAAAGGGCTTTGTTTATGGTCCACACAGTTCTATATACATGAATAAAATCACAGTAAATCGTCCCCCGCTGAGAGCTCGTCGGCTGATTATCTGGTGCCTAATGTTTTCGAAAAGGCCAATCTTTTTGCCCTAATTTGGAATTCAATTGCAATAAGTAATTACATTAGACAAAAAATGTTTAGAACAATTTAATCAAGGGCGAGTTCAATCGGGGTGAAATGCCCCATCAGTCCTGAACAGTTTAGTAGATATTTTAGATTACAAAAAATATGTAAACGAAATTAAATTTCAGAGAATATGGTCTACCTATACCTAAGTTAAATTTAAATATTTAGTAGTGTTATAAACGTAAAGGTAACCAATAACAGCTAAGCTTTAACGTTAAACTGAACTACGACATTTGTGCCTTTAGCCAAATGCCACTTTAGCACTTGTCTACTGAGAGAGTAGAAAACTAAATAAATGTATGGGGATGACACTGACAAGTGTCAAAATATACGTATAATTTGGTTTTCTAATCTACAAGTAGACAAGCGCTAAGTGGCATTTGTCTATAGCTACTGATTAAATTGGAATCTGGAAACGGCCTAAACCTATCTTGATAGAATATATAAGTACCCAAAAAAAGGTTTAAAGTCAAAATTCTACCCAAATGAATTATCCATGCGGGTGAATATTCAACATAATAAAACTGCAATAATAAGTGAAAAGGGTCGACCTCAAAATACACCCTGATGCACCATATAAGCTTGAACGGCTTTACAAAATTACATTTTGTTCCTACATATCCTGACTCTGCAGACCACAGCACGGCCGCTAAGTATGCACTGCGGTGTAAGTATAGTAGGGTAGTAAATTAGAGGCACAAATTGTCCGTTGTTAGTCTTAAAATACCCGACTAAAATGGGTAAATTTGAGATCTGTTTTTTCATGGTTTTTAGAGATTGTAAAAAACTATATCTAATACTTATTAATAAAATTTAAACCAAGAGTTAACGTAGGTACAATATGTAGTTAAGTTGATTTCTTTATTTACAAAAGCAGCTTGTTTTGAACAAGACTAATCTTTTTTACTGCTCATCATCATCAACAGCCTACAAATGCCCACTGCTGAGCCAAGCCTCTTTTCACACGGATAAGGTTTGGGCATTAATCACCACACTTGCTCAATGCGGATTAGCTATTTCAAACTTATAATTATAGATTATAAACCCAGGTTTTCTCACGATATGTTTTCTTTTACCGTTTGTTAGTGGCGTCTAAATAATCTCAGACACATTGGTACCTACTAGCCGTTGGTAGGTTTCGAACCAGCACAGTCGTTGTCTTAAACCTCCGGGCCACCATGACACTCGACCATTTTGACTACTTAATCTTTAGATTATAAAGTACTAGCTTTTACCCGCGGCTTCGCTCGCGTCACAAAAGGATAAAAAGTAGCCTATGTGACATATACCAATACATACAGCGCCATCTATAACAATACTTTTGTTTTCCCTCGGGAATATCAATTTTTTCGGAATAAAAAGTACCCTATTATTTAATCCAGACTTCTAACTTTACGTCTGCAAAAATTCAAAGCAATCGGTTGAGTAGTTACTTAGTGAAGGTGGAACAAACAAACAAACAAACAAACTCACTTTCAGATTTATAATATTAGTAAGGATTCTTTTTGCCCTTAAATAGAGCTTGAATTAAGCATCTTTTAGACCCTAAAGGGTAGATATTATAGAAAAAGTTGCAGATGGACAAAGGGATAATACAATGTGTATTTGAAGGTTAAATAAGTGAACATAAGAAACAACAATGGTCACCTCATTATAATATCTTTGTGCGCATTACAATGGCGACCAGCCTGGCCGCTTGCCTAAGTAGTCTAAAGAAAATAATATCATCATACGAAATTATGAAGTATTTGTAATGGAAATCACGTTGATTTATTACTGAAAAGATTTCTTTTTTG